AATTTTGCCCCCCCCCCCCCCCGAGAACCCGGGACTTGCGCTATTATTATTACATCGCTGGCCGTATAGCGTCCGGGCGCGGATCCAGAACGAATATTTCGTTCGGCGGGGGGGGGGAGGAGGGGAGGCGGTCGTCGTGATGCGCGGCGGCGGCGGAGGTAAATTCACCGAAATATGCATTATCGCCGTAATCGTCGCGACGGTATATTTACAATATTCGGACAATGTGTGGTATCGAAAACGCATCGGACGTCCCGGACACGTTCGTCTTCGACAGCGAAATTCTATGCGAACCGAGCGCTTGTTGGTACTCCATTAAAACCGACGTCGTCTAGAATACAAACCCGGTCCGCCTCCCCTCGAATCGGCGCCCGATCGCGTGTCTGCAGTTAAATATATTTCCCCTCTAATTACGGACGACCGCGCTCAATCTCGGCAGTTGTTTTTTTTTTTTTTTAATAGACGGATTGCAAAGCGATACGAGTCCGAGTTCAAAAACAATAACCGCAAATGGCTTTGTACACTCTTACTGAATGAAGCGATGGGTGGGGGGGAACGGTTTGATTTCACGCCCGGCGTATGTTAGGAGGACGTGTCATGGAAGGGGTTTGATTTTCAACCGCCGACCGTCTCTTTAACGTGAAATTTCAATATTTTCCGGAAGTGGTATAAAATATAACGTGCGGAACGTTGCAGCGCTTGTGCGACGACCCTCCGGCGATTCCCTATACCACCGCCGCCGCCGATCCTTTTTCGAAAGAAACGGCCATAAATATTGTTGTTCATCTAAAGTTGTAAAGTTATCACTTCTGTCACTTCGAACGCGCGCGGTTCTCCGGTCCTACGTATTCGATCGTCCGCGACCCACACACCAATTTTGATATTCGAGGCGCGGTACTAGAAATATAGTCTTGGCCGTCGGACCGTATTATGTAGGCTCGTGTTTTTATAGTATTCGGTTGTTTTATCGTTTCTGTTTTGTTTTATTGTTGCGAGAAACGGTCTTGTGAAAATATTCGTGACGAAACGTTTTATTTTTTTTCGCGACAGAGAGTAAAAAATGACGCGCGTGTCGTCGCCGCGTGTATACGACACAGAAACGAGATAATGAATAAAGACAAAAAAAAAAAGACACTGATGTCCGTTATTAATCGTCTACGGTTTTTTTTTTCTTTTCTTTTCTTTTTTTTTTTTTTTAATCGATTTAATAAATTTCGCCCGTCTCGGGCGAGAAATCGAACGTATACGCCTAAACGTTTCGGCCCGGTCATCGTCGCCGCCCGAAAACCGCACCTCGGCCGCCCGTGGTCCCGGGTCCGCGAGACGTCCGACGCTGCTGCTGCTGAACCGCGGCGAGAAAATACGCCTATCTCGTTATTATTACGACCGTCGTCGTCGTGTAACAATAATATCCGACGTACATTATATTATTATTATTCGATGGGACCGAACGAAATGATAAAAAAAAAACTCAAAACCAAAAGTGGCACTCGGTCCGTAGGTATTGATTTATCTGTGGCGGCTAATGCGTTTCCTGTTGTTGTTGCGACGACGACGACGACGACGGCGGCGGCGGTGGTGACTGTAGGGCAAAATCGAAAATTCCGGTTTCACGCACACACTCAGAGATAATATTATGTAATTGCTGTTTTTCAATGACGTTTTACATTAGTATAAACGACGTTTATTTAGTTTTTTTTTTTTTATTCATTCCGATTTTAATTTATGCGGACGCGTTTCTTCGCCGCCGCCGACTCCCATATCATATCTCGGCGATGTATATTAGCTGTATTATTATTATACGGCCGCCCGACCGGCAGACACCCGCGAGGAAAAGACCGCGTGATGGTGAATACCACTTCAAAGGAAACAAATTAATTTTTCCCCGCGCTCTCTCTGTCTCTCTCTCTCTCTCTCTTTTTACGTATGGTCGACAAAAAAAAAAAAAAATGTTCACGTAAACACGCGGATCGTCGACAATATAGTGCAGGTGATGCGGCGCATATCGTCTCCCGCCGTCTCTTCGCCGCAACCGTCGGCGACCTATCAAAAGGCCACTCGTATAATGACCGTGTAGATGATTAAAAAAAAAAAAAAAAAAACGGAAATAAGAGCGCCATTCCTAAAACAAATATTGTAAGCGTGGCGGTGGTAAACCGAGGCGATCTATCATTAAATTATTGTATAGACGAAACGCCTCGGTTTATGAAACTCGGAGTAACTGCAGAACCCGCAGTTCTCCTTGAAACACTGATAAGGTATGGATACACACTACATCCCTATATCTTTGTTATCGGCGTGTACCTTTGTGTATTATAATATTATTATAATACGCGATAGTAATAAGCATACTTGGCGTTTCGGAAACGGTCGGAAAAAAAATTATCCACCCGCACGGCCAACCGTTTCCCTACCCTACCCGTTCGTCAAAGAAATATTTATTCGATTTACAGCGCCGCCGAACCGCCGCCGGTCTCGACCGGAGAATTCGAACGATTTTAAACTTTTTACTTTTTTTTTTTTTTTTAGTTTATAAAAAAACATTTCGTTTACAAGTGAAATGCGATACAATATTATGTTTTCCGAATAGAAAAAAAAAAAAACATCTCAACAACGATTTTGACTGACGCGCGCCGTGCGGGACCGTCGTGAAAACGTCCTCGTCGTCGTCGTCTTCTGCATACGTTATAATATTATTGCGTAAAACAAAATCGCCGTGATATTAAAAAAAAAAAATCTCACGACGGGGCCGGCGGAACGAACGGGATCAAAAGACTTCTGGAGGCGAGCTGCGTTTCGGACGGAATGTCCCACGGCGAGCGGGCATAGTAATATAATTAATAATATTATTAATCGGGTCGTCGTCCGTCGGTGTTTTTTCCTTTTTTTTAACGGTCGGCGATTCGTGCGTAGGTATTTACGTCGAAAACGGACGTTTTCACGCGTTACACAGCCGCGTATGGGTTCGTGACGTCTGAAGTCTGAAGTCGGCAAACTCGGAAAACAACAAGAGCCCCGAAGAATACGTACGCCGACCGCCGTCGCGGTAATCGAAACGGTTTTTTTTTTTTTTTTCGAAAGACGTCCGACGGCGAAACGGACGAGAAATACGAGAAAAAAAAAACACCGACAACTGAAATATTATAATATAATTGCGACCGGGGAACGGATTTCGCGTTTACCTTATTCGTTTATTAAATAACAGAGCGAGCCGTACTTTGTTTAAAGCGTTTTAGACCCTATTCATTCTATTCGAGTTCGGGCGCCGAACAAATCTCGCTCCGGAGTGCAGTATCTTTTCGGGAAAGAAATTTTATCCTGGCGGCGTTTTAAAGAGGTCGCGATAGTTGATTTTCCCAGCGGTTATCACGGTAATCGGGAAAAACGCGACAATTCACGCGTATATATGTATAAAAGAAACTTTGCTACGAATCGTTTTCCGTTAACTTCGCCGAGGGCGATGCGGCGTGATTCCTATACCTTCCCGGATTTTCACCTACGACAGCGGGCCGCCCGCCGTAGTCGTGCCGAATGTTTTTAAACTATGATTTCTACGAGTATAGCGTATGATGTAATATTACTAAAACGCTTTAGAATTTAGAATTTTTTTTTTTTTTTTGTCTTCCGATTTCCTCGGCGTGAACTAGTACACATTAGATGTTTTTTACTGGGACGTAACGCCGGTCGTTTCGCGGTTAAGTACGGTGTTCGTATATTGCACATTATTGCGTGTACATAAAACTGAACATCGCGGGATTCGAGCACGTGTTATTCCAAATGTACCCCCGCAGTCCGTCGGGGAAAACCGACCGGTACACGCGATTATTGCGAAATGATCGAAATTGATTGCGTTTTTTAAGGCACCCCTCGCGTAAACTTGAGCGTTTTTTTTTTCTCTCGCGGAACGTTCGCCGGAGTTTATTCGCACAGCACTTGCCTATCTAGATAATATAGAGGGTGAAAAACACATTATACATACACGTGGGCGTGCGCTTTTATCGGGCGCGTTTCGGAAAACGACTATCGCCGCACCAAAGTAACGTCCGCGCGTTCAATTACCTGTCCGTGTAGCGGCCGCGCGAGAGAAACTTTTTACCGAGGAGCGGAGTGGGAGGGGGGTGGGGTTAATGCCTCCGCGTGCGTGTCCCTCCATACCGCCGCCCATTCTCGCGGCGCGGCAGAGAGATAAAATAAAATGCATCGGTAAAACTATCGCCCGCGGACGACGACGACGACGTCCGTCTCTTATATATATATATTCTCTTCGTTCGGAATGATGTAATAAAAAAGAAAAAAAAACACGCGACGGATCGGCCGAGGGCGAACATATTAACGTCGTCGTCGTAGTAAACTTGTGTCCGTCGATCGATCAATCGAAAACTTTTCGCGATTGACGGCGATAATATTAAATACCGGCTGTCGTTACGCGGCGCCCCCTCGGAGTCGGGTCGGGTTGTCGAAAAAAGAAAAAAAAAAAACCATAGAAAAAACCCAACGCAAAAGCGTAAATCAATTAGGTTTATTTAATAAAACGGCGAATTTACCGCGTTTCCCCGCGTGTACACGTCCCCGCGAAAATCTTAATCGTCCGTATTAACTCGAGGGCGTCATCGCGGATATTCGGACGACGTTTTTACGCGTATTACGGCAAAACCCGATCGGTTATGTGTACGAAATTCGTATGTCCGCGACGATGACCAAGCAGAAAAAAAAAAATTGCCCGGACGATAAAATCGGTTATTTATCCGGTCGAATTTACCCGGCCGTTTTTTTTTTTTATTCAGTCACGTTGTGTTGCCGGCCGTCACGCAAAAAGCGATTAAACGATTAGGCATTTGTTTTGTTTGAATCCGTTTTTCGAATCGACAGTTAATAACGCGCGTGACGTTAAGCGGTACCTAAAAAATTAAAAAAAAAACGATTTACGATATCGCGCGGATTGCGGACTCTGCGCACGGTATAACAATAGGTGACGGAATATAACGCACGGTCAGTTTTTCACGCGCGGTCGTTTTTCGCGGCGACGGCGCGGCGTAACCGAGCCGACAACTTCCGTACGGCGTTCCGTAAGTATTCGAGAGGCCGAAACACAGAAATCCGGCCCTGTCGGACCGCATAGGCCGGCCGTGCGCGCGGTGCGTATTACGACGGTGTGTAGTCTGCCCGGGCGATTAGAATCTCCGGCGTGAAAAACGGGACTCTCGAGAAGAGCACAATAATAATAACAATAATAATAATAATATTATAATAATAGACGCGCTGTGTACTCCGGGTCGTTCTCCGCGTCGTTTTTTATCCGTTACGGTCGTTTGTGCGTGCGGACGCGTATGCACATATATATATTTATTTTTTCTAAAAAAAAAAAAAAATCCTATACACGTATACTGCGTATAATGCGCGCGTGTGTGTGTGTGTGTGTGTGTGTGTGTGTATAGTGTACAAAAATATACTAGTTTAGTTTATTTTATTATTATTATTATTTTTTTTTTTTTTTTCAAAACGCGTCTCTTCTTTGTTCCCGTGAACCGCGGCGGGACAGTGCTGCAGCGCGGACGAATACAAACCGTCGTGGGTACGCGCGCGCACATAATAACGCGCGGGTACCTTTACGCGCGCAGACACGTCGTCGTCGGTAATCGGCTGTATCTTATTCGGGACCGAGTGAGAATAAAAAAAAAATAAATAAATAATAATATTGTGACGTGATGAATAATCGACTCGTGTCGTACGCCCGGTACTGCTATATAACGTGCATAACCGCGGTGAGAAACGGCGGCGGCGGCGGCGGCGACAGGGTCGGTGGCGAAAGATGAATATCGAATTTTTTTATGCCGGCCATACGCGCGTAATACACACGATAACATTATTACATTATGATGCATGACCGTCGGTCGTCGTCTCCGCGACAACGATCGCTACGCGTGTGTATATACGAAACGGGGGGGGTGGGAAATACTAAAAAATGCCCCGGCACGTTCCGGGCATTTTTTTTTCGTAGGCTCCGCGTGTCAATACTGCAGGACGCCGGTCGTAGCTTACGCGCGGACCGCCGCGGTCGCAGGCGGAAAGTCGGACGCGCACGGATATTATTGCTGTGCACACGGGTAGGGCGGTTTGATTTGTACGTTAATATCGTCTGTACACGGACGCGACGATAAATCACGGAAATGCAACGTGAAACTCGGTGATTTTCGTCGACATTTAAAACATATTTTTTTTTTTCGTCCACCCTTTTGTCGGCAGTACGACTCGCGACGTAACCCGCGTTCAAGTCCGAAAGACTGTGCACGTACAGAGAGAAAGCGAGCGGGTTCATCGCGGCGGACGGAGTCGCGTTTTATCGCGTACATTTTCCCCGCGTTCCCCCGGCAAATTATCGGGAAAATCGACGATCGGCGCGCACCGCAGTGGAGATAATCTACTATTATGTAAAATAA